GATGTGATGAGATGAGATGAGATGAGATGAGATGAGATGAGATGAGATGAGATGATATGAGATGATATGATACGATATGAAATGAGATTAGATAAGATGAGTTGATCTGCGATCAGATGAGTTACCATCTATTTTATTATATATTTTTTATATGAGTTTAAAAATAATGAGTTGGGTTGAAATGCATCTACATTGCTGGCGATGAGGATTATTTCTGATGTCTGATAAAGTGAACTTAAATGCGATTTTTTGCTATGATATTTATTGTAATGCAATGAGATTCAATGGGTTGAGTCAGGATCGGATGTGATAACTTTCCTTGAGTCATTTGTACTCTTTTGCGATAGGATTAGTCAAGACAATGTGAGATTTATTTGTTTAAATGAGTCGATTTGACTTTAGCTGTGATTAAATCATTTGACCTATACTTGCGACCTTTTTTATCGAATTACTTGGTCTTTTTAATGATAAATGCAACGCTTGCGCTCTTCATAGTGTTCTAATTTCGCCTGTCCCGATACGAATAGTTAAAATAAAAGTTGTATCATCAAATGTTCTATTTGAAACCTGCTGTATTTCACTCTACAGTTGAGAATATTACGTCAATCATTGAAATCGGTCTGGAGTAGAATGGTCCAAATTCGGCGGTTTCCAGCAAAGTGGAGAAATTGAAGGAAGAATTCGTGCTCGACTATGATATTATGTGTTCCATTTGCAATGAATGCCCTTGCGCCGTAGTGTTTGTCTTCTGATTTCTTCAAAAGTTGGTCACGATACGCAGCCAAGCTTTGACTGTTTGACGAGAAACAAGGAGAGCCGATTAGTCGCGTTAACTTGGTGACAAAAAAGTGTCGAGCCCAGTCTAGTTACGTAATACGCGAAAACACAATATATTATGTTGTCATGACTTTACAGAGCATACAATGAGTTTATATGTGACGAGCTCGAATCACATGAGAAGGTAGTATGCTAGAATATTATCTTTTGTATGTTCATCTACGGCTCCTTTTGCCAGTGCAAAACATCTTTATTCTATTATTTTGTGTACTCGTTGGGAGAAGAGAAATGAATGCAATAAGGTCAACATTTAATTTCATGCCTCACCCTTAATCAACTCCACGACGAGGCATCCGAAACTCCAAATGTCAATGGTCTGGTTGTACCCAGCCCGAAGTATGACTTCAGGAGCTCGATAGAAGCGTGACTGGATGTAGGGATAGAATTCTTTGTTGATAAAACAACTGGAGCCGAAGTCGATCAGTTTCACCGAGTCGCGGACGACCTCGGAGCTGAGTGAAGCGCATCTGTTGCCGGCCTGGCGTACAGACGGTCCTGTTTGCAGCAGGATGTTCTCCGGCTTCAGGTCGCAATGGATGATGTTCAACTCGCGCAGTGTCACCAACGCCT